ATATTCTATACCCAGGTGGGAATTTTGTAAAGCTTTTCCCAATTGAAATCTTCAAAGACCCTGTGTCCTTCTTTACAATTCACCTACCATATTAAACAAAAAGTCAGAAAATGGCTGTGAACATGTCAGCAAGAGTTCAGAAAAGCCAGATAAAATAAAAAATATACAACCCATAACTGATGAGTCACTTAGACAGAGATACACACACAACTACGACAATCTTCATTACTAATTATTTTTAAAGTGAAGGAAGGGAAAAGACCAGGACAGTGACTGAGAAAGATTGTGAGAACTATAAACTTTGTAGCATAGCTTCTGAGCTCTGCAAAGGTGTGTTTTATGAAAGTGACAATCCATTCCCCATTCCATCTGCTCTCCAAGAACTGGAGGCGGGGGTTCTTTTATAATTAACGACAAACAAGTTTTCAGTGAACAAGCAAGACCTACAACTTAGACAAACTATCCAACTAGTTGCATTGTTCACAATCCATTGTTCATATCGGGCACAGTTTGAAAGCATTATAGATGATTTTCAAAAATAACTTTGACAAAATTCTAGCAAACACCTGTTTAAAGGCAGCAAATAATAGAATTATCAAGGTCTCACTCCTAAAATCAAAGCTTTTATCATATGCCAAGACCACGTTTTGCCTGAAGCAGGTCATGTGTTTTGCTAATTCGTGAACATAGTCCAGCAAGTTTTTCCATATCAAGTCCCAGGTTTCACTGTTACAGAAGTACCCTTAATTGTACATTTGCAGACGTGGACTGAGGAACTCTCAATTCATGAGACCTAACAAGGTGACATTGCAAGCACTGAGGGAGATAAATTAATTCAAGCAGCCAAAGCTTCCTTCTCAAAAAGAAATGTCGGTCAAGGAAAGTGTGGGAAGAAGTGGACCTTGGAGAATTAAATTCTCATCTGAACAGGCCAACCTGTTTCCATAGAAGAGATCTCTGCCTCTATCTTTAAAACACCCCAAACACTTTGTAGCAGTAGACAACTACTAGGGGAGAGGGGACTGTTCACTACTAGAGGAGAGGGGACTGTTCACTCCTCTGTTCCCCAGTCAATATTTATTTATTTATTTATTTATCGTGTCATCAGCAACCATACCATTGTATTACATTTCTAACAGAACAAAACAAACAAACAGATTTAAAAACACAGATTTTGCAAACTTGGTAGTTGATTAAATGTCCTTTGACCAGTATCTGGCCACTTGGAGTGCCTCTGGTATTGCCGCAAGAAGGTCCTCCATTGTGCATGTAGCCGGGCTCAGGTTGCATTGCAGCAGGTGGTCAGTGGTTTGCACTTCTCCACACTCGCATGTCATGGATTCCACTTTGTAGCCCCATTTCTTAAGATTGGCTCTGCATCTCGTAGTGCCAGAACCCAGAAGCAACCCAGTCAAATAATCAGTTGCAACACAACCAGGCATGACATCACAGCAATTCCAATTCTGGATTCAGCCTAAAAGTGGCAATTCTTTACAACTTTTCTTGGTTACACAAAGGGGGAGCAAGTCTCCTCCAGCTACCACATTCTTATACAGATGGGGGGGGGGGGGGGGGGGGGTGTTGGATGAAAATTCAGTCAGATTTTTTTTCTGGGGAGGATCAAGTCTTTCAAGGGTCACCTAGCGACTTTCAGGAGTAGTAAAATGGGAACATACAATGAGAGCCAATCATGACATGACTGGGATCTCTTTTGTTTTAACTTAACAACAGCTGTCAGTAAGGGGCAAACTGGACTGGACCAGACCAGTAGAACCAGGGGGGGGGGCAGGAGGGAGCATTTTCAAGAAGCCTGCATCTCCTATTGAAAGAGTCAGCCATTCTCTTCCACAACTTACAGCTATCCATCCACACAACTCCTACATTCCCTTACTCGTTCCTTCAACTGGAAGATTTTGACATTCTAACTGTCAAGCAGAGGATAAAAATGGTCAGACATGCCTCACATATTGAAGGCTGTCGTGCATTTATGTGGGGAAATGTAAAGCCTGACCCAAAACCCAACTACATGGTAAAATTAATGCAGTTTGACACAGCCATTAAACAGTGTCAAACTGCATTAAAATAGTGTCAGACTGCATTACCTCTATACTGCAGATGTACCCTTGGTCACCCTTAGCATGTATGGTGTGAAAGCAAGGAGGAAATGTGTGTCTTGTGTCCTCTTCACTGCCCAAACTTAAAAGAATTGAAAGTGAGACTGTCTATGTAGGCTGTCATTTACTTGTTCATAGTTTTCATTGAGTTCTGAGGGACGAAACCAAAGAGCTACAATTCAGAATACAGGTAAGGGAAGATCCAAATCATAGAGCTGGAAGAGACCTCGTGGGCCATCCAGTCCATCCACCTGTCAAGAAGCAGGAAAATCACAAAGCACTCCCAACAGATTGCCACCCAGCCTCTGCTTGGACTGGATGACCCATGAGGTCAGAAAATCACAACAGAACAGAGAAGGTGACAGATGTAGTCACATATGCTGCTTCTAAATGTGGTGTCCAGATATATCTCTTCTACTGTACATTTAGATGCTATTTACTTCAATGGGATATGTGTAAAAACTCTTATTCTATAGGATCAAAATAACTGCCTTCTCCCTGCCTGGTATTTCTGGTCAAACCTGTACAAAAAGGTCTAAACACAGAACACTGCCATTTATCTATGTACTTATTACATCTCCTCAGAAATCTACGGTACAATTGGACCTCTAGAGCTATAGTTTCAGCAACCAAAGACTCCATGGCTTGAAAATATTTTTAAATTCCCAAATACAAATCTTTATTTTGCCATTTACACCACTTTACTAGAACCTTGCATAATGAGACTTGAGCATCCATGGGTTTCAGTATTCATGGAGAGTCCTGGGATCAAACCTCAGTGGAATTTTCCAAACATGCTTGTGGTAATAACAATGATAAGTAATGATATTCCTTGGAGAAAATAATACATAACTTCTATATGCGCAGCACACACATTTGCCAATACAAAATGAAAAAGGAATGTATGGGACAAGCCATCTTTTTCGGAAATTGTTTGTTATGTTGAAACTAGAAATAGTAGACCTGAAGCCAATTCGAGTTTTGAATGGAAAGGTGGACAGTGACAGTCCACTGCCAAGGTAAAAGCATTTCCCTCATATACACAGATGTCACCTTATGATCACCTTTCAGGGTCCACTTTGGGTATTCGAGGGTGCATTACATTGTAGAATGAATGCAGTTTGACACCACTTTAATTGCCGTGGCTCAATTCTGTGAAATACTGGTATTTGTACATTTGTGGGCAGAGAAATCTAAAAACTTGTAAAACTATAGCTTCCATGATTCCATAGCACTGAGCCATAGCAGTTCAAAAGGTGTCGAGCTTCTTTAACGATACAGTGCAGATGGACCCAAACACGATTTCCAGGGCAATGTCCTAACTCCACATTAATCCCTCCTATTCCTGGATCATGTGCAAAAAAGAGCAAGAAGGGGCTTCAAGCAGTTAAATCTCCCCAGGAAGTTGACACTCAGGGCTTCATCATCCCTCCCCTACAAACAGAAGCCAAAGATATGGAGGGGAGAGAGCTGGGATAAGACAGAGAGGTCAAATGATGCTGGCATCAGAAAATACTAGAAGCTAGGAGAAACCAGTTAGAAGAAGAAGCAATGGATTCAAACTGCAAGAAAAGAGATTCCACCAAAACATTAGGGAAAAAACTTCCTGGTGGTAAGAGCTGTTAGGCCAGGCATGGGCAAACTTCGGCCCTCCAGGTGTTTTGGACTTCAATCCCCACAATTCCTAACAGTGGCTGCTAGGAATTGCAGGAGCTGAAGTCCAGAACACCTGGAGAGCCAAAGTTTACCATGCCCGTGTTAGGCAGTGGGATATACTAAATCAGAGTGTAGTGGAGTCTCCTCTGGAGGTTTTTAATTATAGGCTGGATGGCCATCTGTTGAAGGTGCTTTGAATGAGTATTCCTGCATGGCAGAAGGGGGCTAGGCTGGGTGGCCCTTGAGGTCCTTTCCAAGTATGGTTCTAGGACAGGCATGGGCAAACTTCAGCCCTCCAGGTGTTTTCGACTACAACTCCCACAATTCCTAACATCCTACCAACTGTGTTGTCAAAGTCTTTCATGGCCAGGATCACTGGGTTGCTGTGAGTTTTCCGGGCTGCATGGTCATGTTCCAGAAGCATTCTCTCGTGACGTTTCTCCCATATCCATGGCAGGCATCCTCAAAGGTTGTGAGGTGTGTTGGAAACTAGGCAAGTGGTGTGTGTGTGTGATGGAATGTCCAGGGTGGGAGAAAGAATTATTGTCTGCTTGAGGCAAGTGAGAATGCTGCAATTGATCGCCTTGATTTAGCACTGAATAGCCTTGCAGGTTCAAGGCTTGGCTGCAGGGCTACAACTTCTGAGAATGCCTGCCACAGATGTGGGCGAAACGTCATGAGAGAATGCTTCTGGAACATGGCCATACAGCCCGGATAACTCACAGCAACCCAGCCTAGCGGTTGTTAGGAATTGTGGGAGTTGTAGTCCAAAGCACCTGGAGGGCCGAAGTTTGCCTATGCCTCTTCTAGAAGGAGGAGGAGGGGAAAGAATAAGGATCCGCTTTGCCCCAGGCTGGTCGCCCTCTGACCTCCCTGTGAGGCCTTTTAGGGGCGGAGAGAGAAAGGGGGCGGGCGAGAGAAAGAGAGAGAGAGGACCATCGAGGGAGACCGGCTTCCTCTTCCACGCGTGTTCAATGGTGCCCGAGCCAAGCGAGAAAGGGGAGAGAAAGGCTCAACCCCATGTGAACACGCTCTGGATCGCGGCCAGGGCTCAGATTCCCCACTACAAGCCGGAGGAAGGAGGGAGGGAGGGAGAGGGAGGGAGGCGGGCTGAGGAACACATGGGCGCCCCTGGCCAGCAGCCGGCCTCCTTCCGCCTGTCACCGGCCTCAACTCCTCGGCCCGGCGCCTCCTCCCTCCCGTCCTCTTCCCTTCCCTCGCGGCCCTTACCTGCCCGGCCTTCCGCCGCCTCGTCGCCTCGCCTCGGCCTCCTCCTTCTCCTCCGCCTTCCTCCGGGCCCCACGCACCGTCGCCCGGCGGCCGCTCTGGCTATGGCGGGCACACACTTGGCGCGTCACCGCCCGCGAGCGCCGTCGCCCCCACCACACGCGCGCGCGCTCTCGCTCATCAGTCGCCGCCGCGCCGCCAGGGAAGCCGGGAAGTGTAGTCCGGGCCCAGTGCGCATGCGCCAAGGCTACCGCATGGCCTGCCTTCGTCACCATAGCAGCCGCCTTCTCTTTCCCGTAAATCAATTCGGGAGCCAGGATTTCGTTTCGGGGGAGGGGGGATTAACTTTTTTCATAGGGGGGGCTGAGTTTCGGGGGGGGGGGCTGAGTCTGAGTGAAAGAGGGTCTAGCCTAGCAAACCTTTTGTATCATTACCCCAATACCCCCATGCATATGGGATATATTGAGTATGGTGATCAGATCATGATATGAATAAACATAACAGTTTAAATAATGCACCAGTAAGGCCTTTTCGCGAACCACCATGAGAATTTCGGGGGGGGGGGCTGAAGCCCCTCAAACCCCCCCCCCCCCCCCCGGCTACATGCCTGTCGGGAGCCGTAGTCTTCTCTCCTTCCAAAGGACTTTCATGTATTTATTTACGACATTCATATGCCGCCCTTCTGACCCCGAAGGGGACTCAGAGCGGCTTACAAGTTATATGTAATATAATATATTATTAGCATAGCGCAATATTAGTACCATACAATCCCATATTGTACCATGCGACTATACTGTAATATTATTAGTAATATTACATGTAATATTAAATATATAATTTTATTGTTTTATTATTAGTATTATATTGTATTCAGCCTCAGCAGACTGAAAGCCAAAACCAAGGTTACAACAACATCTGTTATAGAACTCCAGTATGCTGATGACAACGTCATCTGTGTACATTCAGAAGAAGACCTACAAGCCACTCTAAACACCTTCGCAGAAGCATACGAGAAGCTCGGCCTGTCATTGAACATTGAGAAAACCAAAGTGCTCTTCCAGCAGTCACCAGCCAATCCCTATCCAATGCCAGAAATACAGCTTAATGGTGTAACATTAGAAAATGTTGAACCATTTCCACTACCTTGGCAGCACCTCTCCACCAAAGTCAACATTGACACTGAAATATTACACCGCCTGAGCTTGGTGAGTGCAGCATTTTTTCGAATGAAACACAGAGTGTTTGAGGACCGGGACATACTTATGGATACCAAGGTGCTTGTTTATAAAGCTGTTGTCCTCCCAACCCTGCTATATGCCTGCGAGACGTAGACTATCTACAGACATCACATGCAACTCCTGGAACGATTCCATCACCGTTGCCTCCAAAAAATCCTGCAAATCTCTTGGAAAGACAAGCAGACAAATGTCAGCGTGCTGGAAGAAGCAGAGACCGCCATCATTGAAGTGATGGTCCTCCGCCATCAACTCCGCTGGATCGGCCACGTCCGGATGCCCAACCACCGTCTCCTAAAGCAGTTACTCCACTCCAAACTCAAGAACGGAAAACAGAATGTTGGAAGACAGGAAAAGAGATTTAAAGATGGGCTCAAAGCCAACCTTAAAATCTCTGGCATAGACACTGAGAACTGGGAAGCCCTGGTCTTTGAGCACTCCAGCTGGAGATCAGCTGTGACCAGCAGTGCTGTAGAATTCAAAGAGGCATGAACGGAGGGTGAAAGAGAGAAATGTGCCAAGAGGAAGGCACATCAAGCCAACCTCAATCGGGACCACCTTCCACCTGGAAACCGATTCCCTCACTGTAGGAGAACATATGTGAGTCAAGAATAGGGCTCCACAGTCACCTACGTACCCACCGCCAGGACACCGCACTTGGAGGACAATGTTACTCGGACATTGAGGGATCGTTTAAGTAAGTAAAGTGCATATCAATATTACATGTGTATACAATATAGTATATTATTAGCACAGCACAATATTGGCATTACATATTACTATTTCGTACTATACCACTATACTGTAATATTATTAGTAATATCACATGTAATATAAAATATATAATTCTTAAATTGTATTATTATTAGTACTATATTGTATTACATTGTAATATTATTATCAATATATATGTATACAATATACTATATTATTTTACTGATACTTTGGAAAAGGCATGGACAAACTTTGGCCCTCCGGGTGTTTTGGACTTCAACTCCCACCATTCCTAACAGCTTACTGAAGTTTGCCCATGCCTGTTTGGAAGGAGTGTTCTTGTTATTGTAAAGTTATGATCTAAGTTTACAGTGCATTCTGTGAGATAGTCTTCAGTTACAAGCATTAATACATATCCTTTTTTGTGTGTGTCAGGAGCGACTTGAGAAACTGCAAGTCGCTTCTGGTATGAGAGAATTGGCCGTCTGCAAGGACGTTGCCCAGGGGATGCCTGGATGTTTTGATGTTTTATCATCCCTGTGGGAGGCTTCTCATGTGCCTGCATGGGGAGCTGGAGCTGACAAAGAGAGCTCATCTGCGCTCTCCCCAGATTCAAACATCTGACCTGTTGGTCATCAGTCCTGCTGGCACAAGGGCTTAACCAATTGCACCACCGGGGGCTCCAATACATATCCATAATACTGGTTGATGAAGCCTTATCAGAAATACTTGGAACCAAAAATATTTTGGGGTTTTTTTGTTTTCTTTTTAAAATAATTAAATATTTGCATATACATTTTCTTTTCGTGTCAAGAGCAACTTGAGAAACTGCAAGTTGCTTCTGGTGTAAGAGAATTGGCTGTCTGCAAGGACGTTGCCCAGGGGACGCCCAGATGTGTTACCATCCTGTGGGAAGCTTCTCTCATGTCCCCACTTAGGAAGCTGGAGCTGACAAACGGGAGCTCACCCCACTCCTTGGATTCGAACTGCTGGCCTTACGGCCAGCAATCTTGCCGACACAAAGGTTTAACCAATTGCACCACTGGGGGCTTCTACTGCATATACATAATGAGATATCTTGGAAATGGGATTCAAGTCTGCTCTGTTAAACCACAGTTTTGGATTCCTGGCATGCCTAGGCTCCAAAGTTTCAAACCACACAGGATGAAGGCAAGGATCAGAGGCTTTATTCACTGATTGGTGCAAGTTGGTGCTGGCTACAATCTGCATACTGATTGGTGGAGGTGCACCGTCCACCTGATTGGACTCCTTGTCTGACAGGAACTTTAATAAAGGAATATAGACAGGTTAAAGGGTGATAATCCTGCCAGTTCAGATGACACAGTGGAACCAAGCCAGCAAAACAATGGGCGACAATGAGTTTTGGCACACGTGGATGGATTCTCAGGAAGAGACAAAGGCAGGGTGCTTGATGACTCCATGATATTTCCTGCTGGTCAGAGATGGGTTTATTGTGAGATGTAAGAGTTTATTTTAGCAAGGAAAAGGATGGTCATGAGAGATTTTGTCATCTGCCTGAAGGAATAATGAGACTTGCCCTGTGTTCCCACCCCAACTAAGAACTGAACCAAAGGTCACCTCTGAATGTTAGCCTTACCATTCTGCTGAGGGAATGGTCTTAGACTTCGCTGGTGAGATCCTTCCTGGCATCTTCATTGGCCGTGCGTTTTAGGGTCTTTTGGGGTCCCTGGGTTGTAACAACATAAACACAAAACTACTGCACATCTATTGCACATGTCTGAAACTATTTTTATACACAATAGTTGTTGATAATTTTGTGCATGAACAAAGTTGGGGTACATTGAAATATCAAAAAGCATCTTGACTCCCATGTGGACAATTTGGGATTTTGGACCATTTTGAATTTCTGGGATACTCAACCTGTATTTCTTGGGCCCCATCTGCACTGCCATATAATATATTTTGAAACTGCATGGTATGTTAGTGTTGACCTGGCCATAGTTAGATAAAATGTCTGATGGGAAACTAGGAAAGTTTCCTAATCAACTATAGCCAGGATATTTCTGTGTGTTCTCAACTGCTCCTTTGAAGCTGACACATGGTTTTCCATGGGGTCTCTTCTTTTTGGAAAAGTTTGTTTGCTTAAAATGTCTGGAATTATTATCATGATTACCCAAAAGTAGTTCTTGTCACTCTCTCAGCCACCCATTTTGTAATTCTGGATAATAAATACACAACATCTACAATGAAGTACCTCTTCAGAAGACTATTACAGAAAAACGGCCTTGCTGCAGAAAAAGGAATACTATTGTGGAATCCTATATGCTAAGAAAGTCATAATTCGGTCTCTTTGGTTTTTAGGCCTGTTCCTACAGTTATTTGGGACACTGATTCAGAAAATTGCATTGGATAGACTACATCAGTTCTAGTTTATATATAGTTATCTCAGTTTTCTATGGGAAAGCAGATTAAGGCGGATAGATTTATTTATGTTCTGGATCTCAAAAACTAGAGTTGATAGAGTAAAACTGGTGTAATTTTGGGTAGCATTTTTAAGTAGCAGAACAATTCAACCTCTGTAACTGTGATCAAAGGAAGACTGCAACAGGATAGTGTTATTGTAACTAAAGGGTGAACTGACTATAGTGTTAAAAGTAGCACAAACCTCTTTTAAATCCCCTTCTGCCAACATACATAGATGCTCTTCCACTGGGAGAATTCTTCCCATCTATGCCAGAGTTTTTAAGGTTGGCTTTGAGCCCATCTTTAAATCTCTTTTCCTGTCCTCCAACATTCCGTTTTCCGTTACTGTGAGAACTGGGAAGCCCTGGCCCTTGACCGCTCCAGCTGGAGGTCAGCTGTGACCAGCAGTGCTGCAGAATTTGAGGAGGCACGAGTGGAGAGTGAAAAAGGGAAACGTGCCAAGAGGAAGGCGCGTCAAGCCAACCCCGGCCGAGACCGCCTTCCACCTGGAAACCAATGCCCTCACTGCAGAAGAAGATGCAGAGCAAGAATAGGGCTCCACAGCCACATACGGACCCACAAGAATATTGGAAGACAATCATCCTCGGAAAGCGAGGAATTGCCTAACTAACTCTTCCCATCTGATCTTGGAGATCAGGGAACAGCACCATCTCCTGGCAGATACAGGCCTTCTACAGTTTAGAAAAGATAAAGGTTTTCCCCTGATATTAAGTCTAGTCTTATCC